CGTGAATTTTCGGGTCCTAGGTGATGGGCTAAACATGATTAAAACTAGTGATTGGATGGGGATTGGATGTGGAGGATCGTTTTTCCATAACCTACATTAGCTCAGTGCACAGGTATAGTGTAAAATAAGAATTTTAAAATAGAACAATAAAAAAAGAACGGGGCACTGAACGGGGACGATTTCCCCGGGGGTCGGGATTTTGATTAAGTTTTCGAAGCGGGGCAAAGAGCGGGGATTTTAACTTAAATAAGAGYAAAATGCTAGAAAGTGTTCGATGAACAAAGTCAAGAAAGTTAAAATGATATAGTACGTAGGATTCATTGTTTAATTCTARGTTTTGCTTCTACGTACGTTTTTACGGTAATTTCCGCACGCATTTCATTTTGCATTTCCTTTTACATTTCATTTTACATTTCATTTTTTTGCATTTTTTTGCATTTCATTTTGCATTTCATGACATTTTTGATTTTTTGCCCTGATGACATGTGATGACGGACAAGTTGTCCGAAAGCTCGGAAATTACTGTAAAAACTCACGTAGATGAAGCAAAACTTAGTATTTACAAAGTCAAGAATTCAACAATTACCGGCAGAAAATTAGTTAGAACCCCCCCTTCGAAGCACAAGAAAATAGCTCTTACCCCTTCTTCGCTATATTAGAAATAACGTCGAACCCCCCCAACTATTAACCTTACTGAAACAAGCATAAGCGAGTCGAGTCAACTGCAGCAACCCAAAATTCACTAAAGAAGAAACCAGATGCAAGAGGTGGCTTACTCATCTGGATCTAAGTGTAAAGACAAAAAAATTCAGGATCGAGGAGCTGACAAGCAAATGTGGTGCCCTTGCTTCTTTCAAATAACTTTGTTCCTATGGCAAAGGTTTTCAAGGTCCAAAAAAGGCTTATGTAACGTTTTTATGGTCAAAAACGACTTTGATATTACTTGTGCTTGTTATGTCTAATAAATCATCAATATGTTTTTCAGGCTTCTACATCTTCAATTTATGTGAAAACTTCATCCTCAATTTATTTGACAAAAATGCCAAAATCAATAGTTGAAAAAAAAAATCACATCTTGGTCAATTTCAATCACACATCAACAAGTCTTTGAATTTAGATTTCCATTAGTCAGGCGCGTAGCGTGGACGTTTTATGCACATGTCAGGGACCGCGACATATTTTTTGCATCTGGGGGTCTAACGAACGCCAAAGGCGGGAGTATTAAGGGAGTCTGGTCCTCCCCCAGAAAATTTTGAAAAAACTCAGGGCAGTTAAGGCATGGCTCTTGGTAAAATAGCGAATATTAACCAAATTTATTCCAAAAAATTAGCCTTTCAATAGAATTCACTCAAACTTGGCAAGTGTCTCTACTTTGGTAAGTACTGCATTTTTAGGGCTTTTGTTGCCATGGAAACAATATCACGTGACTTCAGGGCGGCCATCTTGGATTTTTCATTTGAGGCTCTTGAAAAATATCACAGACACCTTCAAATTATTTAAAACTTTATATCCGAGCATTAATTAATGTGTTCTATAGAGACCTAATTAGAAAAAATGGTTTAGACTTAAGGATGCTCTGATTTTCCTTGAACAATTTTCAAAAAATGACAAAAAAAATATTTTCTCAATTACTTCAAATGTTAACCAAAATTTCTAATTTGTTTTATGTAATAAGTGATAGTAACTATTAGATTGTGGATTTTCGCTCGTTTTGATAGAGTCTGTGATATTTTTCAAGAGCCTCAAAAGAAAAATCCAAGATGGCCGCTCTGGTGTCACGTGATCTCGTTTCCATGGCAACAAAAGTCCTAAAAATGTAGCACTTATCAAATTGGAGACACTTGCCAAGTTTGATGGAAATTTATTAAAAGGCCAATTTTTTAGATTAAATTTGGTGAATATTCGGTATTTTTTCTGAGAGCCATGCCTTAACTGTCCTGTGAAACTTTCAAAATATGAAAGAAACAACTCTTGGAAATGCGATTTCCAGTATTTTGAGAGACATCGAAAATTATGAAAATTTTGAATGAAAGTTAAGGCCCCCCTCTGTTAATTAGGTAATTTTACTTTGAGC